CATCTTACTGAAATGTCACTATTGGATAAATAAAATGTTGATACTTTACAATCTTCAGAAGAGCTGACTTTATGAGAGCATCCGCTATATGAATGAAATTGTGACACACACAAGCCAATGATGTCGTTTGTAAGACACACATCATTAACAAGAGATAACACTATCACGATCACAAATAGAACTAAATATGTAATAGAAACTGACATCATTTCTATTGATGATAAATGAGAAGAATCAATATTTGTAAGTATTAAGAGAGAGAATGATGAAAAAGAATGACAAAACAGAAATAATTGAAGCAGATGCCAAAGAATCAATGTGCATATTAGAAGTGTGATTAAATTTTAAAAACAAATTTAGCTTTTTGTCATCATAATCACAATGCATATTTGGGCAGAAGTTTTTAATACAAGTTTTACTCTTTCCAAGACAAACGGTTTCGGATATAAATAAACATTAGAAGATTTCTTCTCATTTGGCTTCTGCATTGGAACAGTTCAACTAAAGAATACAGGTGATTTTTTCATATCGGACTATCATGATCTTTACAACAGAAACAAGATGTTATGTATAAGTTAGATTTTTAAGTGAAAGTATTTTTTTCTTTTATCTCTTCTATACACATGTGACATGGATATTTTATTGATATTACTAAGCCGAATTCGGCCTAGACTCAAACAAGAAGTAATGTTTATAGTATAAACTTCATGATAGATTATAAATCGACTTTAATTCAACTATTTCTTCTTAAAATTCAATCGTTTCTCATTGAGATTATGTTTCACTTTTTATTTTTGTTGTGAAAATTAAGGACTAGCAATTTCTTCATAACATGACAACAATATCATAATTGATAAAAACACCATAATAATATAACGTGGATGGACCTTCAAACTTAAGAATCACTTGATAGTTGGCATCCGAATCTTGAATGAGTGTTTTATCAGTTGTTGTCACCTCTGTTTCTTGACCATGCAATACTCGATAAACATGTGATATGTAAGGTTTCAATTGTTCATTGTCAATATAAAGCTTGTAGGCTTGTTTTTTCTGAGTCAATGGCGTTTCAATGATTGTCGTCAAGTTAGCAACTGGATAGTTCCAGAAAAGATGAACCGATGTACATGTTTTTGAAATATTATTATTGGTCAAATCAAATATTGTTTCTTTACAACGGTTTGGAGAGCTAATTGACTCCGAACACAGCCCATACTCAAAGTATTCTGCATCACACGAATGAGTAATGTTTTTCGTAACTGGCACAGCATTAACAAGTGATACTATCAGTACTGCCAGGAGTGGAAAGTAGAATACAATAATAGATGACATTGTGTGTAAGTGTTGGTTGATGAATGACAAAATGAAGATATATCGCTCGATACTTATATGAGAGCTGAAACAAGGAAAATGACAAAACAAAAAGAAAGTTTTAAGTGCAATCCCTATGGAATTAAAATATGAAACACGATAGAGTCATTTCACATCGAGATGAAAATGCTTATTATATTCATGATGTTTCCTCACAAGGTCAAGCGAGAATCATCTCCAAACATTTGTACCGATGTGTGATAGAAAGTCATATATCGAATTCGGAGAGAAAAAAAATCGATTTTTTGGACTTTAGTAGTGTAGGTGTCCTCTGCACTATTATCTACACCCACACCCATTCATTCATACACATATTATGGAAAATAAATATCCGACATTAATTAAACAATTATTTGATAAATTAACTCAAAATCTGTTCACTGTATATAAATGGATCGAAACTCTATGTGATGGTCATCATGCTCAAGAGAAAACATTGATATATACAGTCTTATATTCATTTATTGATATTGTCTTAAAATCAAGTTTGATGAATGTTAAAAAAGTGTGAGGTGTGGGTGTCACTGAAAATGGAGTCCATACCCACATCCACACCCACTATCATGTTATTTAAAAAACAACAATTGAGGATGAGAGAAATTTTCGAACGAAGAACTATTTATGCAAAATATTTTTGTCAAAGACGAAAAGTCGATGACATTTTTGAAAGGATGTTTTAGATTGTATTTCTAAGAACCTATCTTATCATATACAATTTACATGGAAAAAAGAAGAAGAAAAGTAAGTTACTCTTTCTATCGTTTTATATACATGATGGCGTATGGATCTATGTATCTTTCTTTCTTTCTCTTTTTCTTAAATTCACTGACTTGTCCTATCTAAAACGATTTTCTTTTCTGCTATCGTATTAATAATACATATGATGCAAATGTATATGTGGCTTTTGCGTTATCATCAACAGGAATATTTCTAAGCGTTCTTTCTTGTTGATGTTGTTGAGAAATTCTCTGTCTTCTTCATTTATTTTTCAACTGAGCTTGGTTTCTTCAACTTTGGTATTATGGATAGTGATCCTTTTCAAAAACAAAACTAGTCATTATATCGCTCTATTAGATCGAAATTCATGATTAGTATCAAACTTGAAATTTGCACTCAATTATTGTCCTTCACATTTCACAAATTCAATTATTCAATTAATCAAGCATTCTAATTTTCGTCTCTTGAGACAATTCACACTAGGTACAATGCCTTGTATATGTGATTTTGTCTAAATCTATTTTTCATAATATATGCACATTGAATGAGTTGTGTGTATGTGTGTTTGTCTCGAGAATACTGCAATATACGATAACTTGAATATTTGAATAATTGGTATTCAAGTTTCTAAGTGTTTAGTATTAGAAAACCAATGATTTGCATCTAGAAAAGTATGTTTCCTATAATGAATTTTTTTTTGTGATTTTTTATTTAATAACAAAAAAAAAGAAGGGAACAGAAAACACATTCGTTATAAGACAGATATTTTAGCATACAATACGCAACAATTTCTAGAATATTAATATATGCAATATAGGATATAAGCTTTAGAGTATGTATTAAATAAGAGTTAACTCTACGTCAATTGTTGATGGTCACAAAGACTCTTTATTCATGAGATCTATATTTTGGCTTGCACCTTGTGAGAGTGAAGTGAATGTCGTATTTATCTTGTTATCTGTTAAAATAAAAGCATTACAGTGATGACCTTGTTCTGCATATATTGAATCTTTCATTAATATACGATGGGCATTAGCCAATTGATAAAATGGAATCTTTGCATACAAATGATGTATTATATGATAACCATCTCCATGTGGATGAATAAAGTACTCATTGAACCATCCTAAATTGTTTCTTGTTGATTGAAATGGATTTGTACAACCAAGAGCAGCATGTTCAGATATTTCACCAATATAACGAATAACTGTTAAAAATGTTAAAAATGGAATAAACCAATAGATAATGAGAGGAGTCAATAAATTGTATAAAGCAAATATTAGTATAATACTACACCAGAAACTAAAACGTAAGATGAAATGACTTAACTTTTCATTTTTGGGTATGAAAAATGCTGGAATTACAGAATTAACATATGGAACAAAACTTCTAATTAAAATATGCATCAATTGTTGAAATGATTTAGCCGACAATTGATCAAGTCCAATATCTTGATAACGTTGAAAATCAGAATCTAATCCTTGTTCCCAAAAATGTTTATGATGTCCAATTATATGTGATTGTCGTTCAGTAATAAGATTATGACCAAGTGGTAAAGCAGCGAATACCCATCCTAATATATCATTTGTCAATATGTTTCGAGTTAGATTTATATGTGTTGCTTCATGTACTAAACATTCTAATCCTCTTTGTCTAGATGCAATAATAAAACATATTATAATGTAAGCAAACATAGTATAAATAGTAATACCATATTGAAGAAAAGCTATCCATGAGAATTTAGCAAGTGTGATAATAATACCCCAATCACATATAAGAGCCAATAATGTATAAATAATGTTAGTTTTCATCAATGCTTTGATCTGTGCTTGTATTTGTGGATCTCTAGGTAAAAATCCACTTTTTGGTGTTACCTGATTGTTAGAAGGTTGATAAGATGGTATTTTGTTTTGTACATCATTCACTAATGACACGCTTTTCTTTTCTTTAATATGGTTTATGAAAATGTCTAATATCATAGTTGCTAAATAACGCTGAAAGGCTCAATCAAATAATGTTGTAGTAAACTGTGGTTATATACTGTATTTATATTAGGATTGTGTGTACGACATACTACTATTATGTTGATCAAATGGGTTTTGCCCATCTGATTCACTTTTATGACATCATATATGTCATCTGTTGAAAAATCATTTCAGCTGCCAGTTCTAAGGAAGTAAGTAACCGCCGCTAACCCCAACAACTGGGTATCTTCCCTTCTAAGTGCGTCATAACTTATCGGAAACAGTTGAATAAACTAGAAAATATCATAATGCGAGACTTTTACGCATGATAATTTCTTGAGAGTGAGAATTAGAGTGAAGGTTAGACAAGTAGAGTATGGGAGAGTTTTGTTGAAGTGCATTCATACGCGACATAAACAAAGTGTATGCGGAGCTTAGTGTTGTTGATTCAAGCCAATCAGCTCCTATTCCATATTTAATCCGTTCTCATCCAGCTTCTGATGATAACGTAAATATTTGTCTGTATGTAATATGGAAGAAAGGTAAAAAAGACATCTTATCTAAAACAAAGCAAGGCAATATCAAAATAAAACCTAAAAATCACTAAATGTTTCATCGATATACATAGAAAACGGTGAGCAAATCAGATTAAAATTAATTTTCTAATAATAATACGAAAAAAGTCGATTAAATACACTATGTTTAGAAAAAATTCAACAAATTAATACATTTTAGTAGACTTTTTCAGGCAATAATAAATTGAAACCAACTTTTAAGCAAATACTCTGTTATATGAATTAAAAACTAAATCAATATTAATTGATTTAAAAAAATAATTTTTTCAACTCTATTTCATTTTGAATACTGCAAACTAATTGATAGAAAATCACATCGGTTTTAATTGATTTTGTTAATTCTAATGTATTCTAGCCAATTTCTACGATAATTGTACCATCTCAATTAGTTACACAATTTGTAGAGGAGTTCTGACTTTGTTGTACTTATATGAATTTGAACAACTTTATAGTTTGTAAACATTTGGAATCCAAATGGTAATGCAAAAATTAGGAAATTTGTGTTCGAATCTGAAGCAAACAGCTTATCTTCGTTATGTATGATAAAAATAGAAGAAAAGGTAATAATAGATGAGAATAATAGATTACTTGGTGTCGATAGGGTATCAATGTGTGTGTGTGTGTAAGTTTGAGTATTCTGGAAAAAAAACGAGTTATGCAGAACCTTGTCATGAGCTCTACTACTATCGAATTCAACGAAGAACCATTAAAATGGTTCTGAATATGACAAAAAAAAGGATCCATGTAGAATCTATGAAACTATTTAGGATTGGTTATGAAAAACGGTTCATTCTGATATATAAAGGTAGTCACAATTCAATGTTTTATCATAAAACCTTTCTAAAATTGTAACAAGAAGTTCTGCACTTGAAAATTACTTTAATGTAACAATATGGTATCTTCTAACTCGAGAAAATGCATCCTTGGAAAAGCGTGACTCTTATCCGATTTTGTTATTATCTAAAATCCTTTAAGAGTTTCAAGACTTCTACACTCCTCAAAAAAAAAGACAGTCATGTTAATATATGATAGAAGAATGAATTGGTCTCCAAACTTCAAAGAACTTGAGACAAATTTTCTCAAAAATTTAAGTAAACAATCTGTTTAAAAAGCAGCAATAAAAGATAAAAGAATAAGGAAAAAACTAATCAATTTGATTTTTCAAAACCACTAATTATTATATCAATTATTAGTACCAATCTAAACGAAAAAAATATAGTAATTCTTTTCTATATTGAATAGCTCACTCTCGATATCTCATGAACAGAGAACAATACGTAAGATAAATACTGCCTATGACTGTATGAGTGACAGTAATCTTTTCACGAGTTGATTTAGCTTGAAAATTTTTTTCTTGATATAACAGTTTTCTTCTTTGTGGTATGTTGTTTCTACATGTTGTTCTCAATTTTTTGACATTATAATTGTTGATACAGGTTTTATAGACATTGCAACAAATTGATAAAGAAATATTTTCTTAATCAATAGTGCTCATCAATTACTTTTTTGATGACATAAGCTCATTGTTTAGTGTATTTGATTCCATACTTATATTGTTCATCACATCTGAAAAGAAATAGAAATAATATCTAGAATAATTATTAAAGGAAGAAGACATTTGAAACTTATAAACTCAAGATGGCTTCGAATATGTATTGCAAAATCGTTTGTGTTCAGCTGTTTTACTATGATAATAAACAGTAGTAATCTTGTTATCGTATTTTTTAACCAAGCTTCGTAGCGATTCATCCCAAAGAAAAGAAAAACAGAAGATTTTTATGAAAAATACAGGTAATATATAGGAGATTGTTTCCAGTGAGAAGCCTTTTAAGAGGCTTGTCAAATATTACAGGACCTCCAAAATCATAAACAAATCATAGTCGAAGTTGTCAAATCAATTGAAAATGAATATGTATCTCAATTACTAGCAAAAGATATTCAACAAAGTTCAATGTGAAAAAATAAGTTCTAACAACATAACGGACTCATTTTGATTTATCAACAATTAATGACTTATATCTACAAGAGAAAAAATGCAGGTTGAGAACATCAGCACGTTAATACAAGTTCAATCATCTGTTTGTATTGAAACTTAATAGTAGTGTCCAGAATTGGTAAATATAATAGAAAAATTGATGTGATAGATAGGCATGAGAATCATTCTATTCTAATTCGATTTTTTTTTTCGATCAAGACACAAGTATTTTTTTGAGAATGATAATTTTTTATAAAATTTGACCGAATATTTTTAGGGTTGAGGAATCCAAATTTGCAGATAGTTTGTCGAAACCCTAGAATTCAATAGTTTTTCGTCAGTATTAGCCTATTCTCTCACGATTAAGGCGAGTGTTTTTGAATTCATCTATTGTTTCGAAATAGGTTTTTACTGACGAAAAACAATTGAACTCAAGAATTTCTATAAATCACCTTTAGATTCACATTGCGAGATTCCAAAAAACATTCTAGGAAGTTGTATACATAATTGCAAGGGGGAAACGGCGGATTCCCGGGATTCCGAATCCCAAGGGAATCCCATGGGAATCCTGGGAATCTTGGAAATCCTGGGAATCCAATGTGAATCCAGGGAATCCCACGGGAATCCTGGGAATCCCACGGAAATCCTAGGAATCCAGGGAATCCTGTGCCTAAGAGTCATCAATAGATAAAGTAATCATCAAAAATAAACAGGCCAAACATATTAGTGATGACAATGATGACGAAGAAGTTGACTCAGAACTTGGAGAATTAGAACAAGACTCTCAAAATCAAGGGGGAAACGGCGGATTCCCGGGATTCCCATGGGAATCCCATGGGAATCCTGGGAATCTTGGAAATCCCGGGAATCTGAAATCCACCGTTTTTCCCTTGCATAATTGTCATTGGCGAAAAATAATTTTGTCTTGATGGGAAAAGTCGAATCGAATAGTATGATATTCATCTCTAGCTATAAACTTGATGTATATCTAATTTTTGAATACTCTGAGAACCTTGGCATTTTCTCAGCATCATATTACTGTTCAGCATCTCAGTACTTTGCAGCATAATTTGATAAATACAACTAGTACTTATTCATTTGAGAACTTGGGTTATCTATTTTTTTTAATTATTGACGATAAATAACACCTAAACGAAGTGAATAGATTAACGTAACAACAGACACAAAAGAAAATTCATTGATTTTGATGGTCTAAGTAAATGAAACCAAACAATATTTTCGATCCTCGAATGATATTGTTTAACTATTATACAATAGCGTGTCATGGAATGTAAGAAAAGAAACAAATATAAGAAAATAGTTCTATCAAATACACTCTAAACTTTACTTGAAAAATAAATGATTCCGTACGAAACCTTTGTTGTACAAAGTCTTTGTTATAAATTTTTTGCTAAATCCTATTTTGTTTTTTAAATCAGTTGTGCTTCGTCATTCTAATTGACAAACTAAAAAGTTTCTAGAGCATGCAGAATTTTTTTTTTGACCCAGTATTATTTGACAGAGCCTTAAATGGTTCAGAATTATTCGATAGAATCTCTTTGATTCAATATTACCGAACAAAAAACACTGAATTGTTCAATGTTTGTGGACAGGAATGTTTTCAGTTGAGTAGCATCCAATTGAGAAGTTTTTATGCATTAGAATTTTTTGACAAAATCATTAGTGGTTTCATAGAATTTGACAGTATATATTCATTCAATATAGCTGAAGAAAATCTAGTGGTAGATGTATTTCTGAGGCAACTGGTAGTATAGACAAAGGTTATCGAATAGCTCTAACTTGTGTTAGTATTATTAGTTTTCTTGTTAGTTTTTTGTTTCTCTATTGCGTTAAACATCTAATGGATTCATGGTGTAGAGGTGGATTGTAAGGATCAGACTTGGAACTAGTTGAAATTCTTGATTCAGCAGTAAAAAACCGGCCTCTTTTATAGATCAATTGATAAACTGTTTCTTCAGGAAAAAGTTTTATTAATACAGCTGCATATAGTGATCGAATGAAATGCATATAACTCGTGAGTTTTTAATACATACGCTGTTTATTTATTTTGCAGTGTTACATAAACTGTAATACTGAGAAGCGAAGAAAATTTATTTCAAAAATTGTCATGTGGTACCCTACAAAAAGTGATATAGACAAGGGGGAAAAACGGATTCCGTCTCTCCTGGATACAGCGACAATCCACACAATCCAGAGGATACGCTTACGATTCAGCCGATACCCTTTCGATACGTACGATACGGTCCAGACACCAAGGATATGAGTTCATTCAATTG